AATTTACTCTTCTTGAGTCCCTACAGGAATGCCGCATCACTGCGACAGGCCCCCCATGTGCATATACCGTCACGCGAAGGCCCCGTCCCAGGAAAAAGCCGCCTGCCATCTTGCAAGCTACAAATACGAATAGGCGCCCAGCAATATTCCTGCTACGACAGTGTAACTCACGCGCAGTGCCACAACCCTGGTAGCGTGTCCAAGAGCACCTCAAGCGAGAGCCCCAATTCGAAGAAGAGCTGCAGGCCCTTCTGGGCCCCGGAAACGGCAAGGCCGTTTTTTCCCCGTTTGCGAAAGTCTCTTGAAAAATGGAAACAGCAAAGAACGGTGACCGGAAACGGCAACAAAGACGGCTCCAGAATTGGAACCGGAGCCGGAACCAATGCAAAAAGGGCGACGGAACCTGTAAAACAAACGGCGTCGGAACAAGCGAAACAACGGCGAAACGGAACCTGTCAAAAAACGGCCGTCGTTTCCAGGGCCCACTAAGAGCAGGCCCCATCTGCGCGACGGCCGCACAGCCCTGTGCTTCTGAACTCTACCAAATATAAAGGACGTCTCCTGCGAGGACCCCTCTTTGACAAGGAACTGCCCTTTGCCCTTGGCAGCTGCTGCCCTTGGGCTTCTCCAAGGATGAGCGCACGCAGGGGCTGACGAGCCACCCTCCGCCCTGGCCATGTGCGACGTTTGGAACCGTTGGCGACCACGCTGAGGTGAGGGCCACATCGTAAAGCAACCATCCGCTCTCCGTGGCCGTTGGACGCCGCAAGCTCCAGGATCACAGGCGGTGAGGAGATGTCCAGCGACGCGCCTGGCCTGCCCTGCCTACGAGTCTGGCAGTGCGACGAGAACGGGCTCATGCATGAGCAGGAGGGAAGGAGGGGGAGGCGGGTGGAAGAGGACGGGATCGTGGAAGCTCCCCCAAATCCTGCACTAACACGACATACCGCTGGTTCGGGCCAGATGAGGCATACAGGGGAGAACGACCTCTTTGCAATACTTTTACTCGGATGCCAAGGAGGATCCCTGAAGGCGTACCATCTGGCTTCCTCCTCCTCTCCATGTTGCCCTCTTTCTGCTCGTCATCCCTCCTCCTCCTCCCCTCCTCCTCCTCCTCCTCCCCTCCTCCTCCTTCTCCTCCTCCTTCTCCTCCTCCTTCTCCTCCTCCTCGTCATCCTACTGGGTAGGCGCCCTGCTCCTGCTCCTGCTCCTGCTCCTGCTCCTCCTCTTCCTCCTCCTCCTGGTCCAGCTCCTGCTCCTGCTCCCGCTCGTGCTCGTGCTCGTGCTCGTGCTCGTGCTCGTGCTCCTGCTGCTCCTCCGCCTCCGCCTCCGCCTCCGCCTCCGCCTCCGCCTCCGCCTCCGCCTCCGCCTCCTCCTCCTCCTCCTCCTCCTCCTCCTCCTCCTCCTCCTCCTCCCCAGTAGGAGTCAGGCTGCGGAAGTTGGGGGAGGACTTGGGAGGTCCCGGGGGACCTGGACCCCCCGATGCCGCCGAGAGGTCCCTGGAGGACTCCAGAGCTCCCGATACAGACCGCGAGCAACAGACCAAAACCGCCGCAGGCGCCGCCCTCTCCACCGCCCCCCGGCCCCACGACGACCACTGCAGACGGTGCTGGCCGACGAAGGCGGCCATCGACGACCTCGACGTCGACATCGACGACGGATTGCGACAGTCTGGCTCGCTGGCCTTGACGACGACGACGGCGACCTCGACGAGGGCCGACAACCTCGACCTCGAGGACGACGACGACGACGACGACGACGACCTCGACCTCACCTACGACGACCCTGAGATCCGACGTTGCGGAACCAGTGCAACGTCGTGAAACATCACGACCAGTGCCCTAGACTCAATCTTTCTGCGGCATTTTTCAGGCCAGATCGACCTGTGATGGTCCCGCGGCCCGAAAAAGGGCCGCGGGTGAAAACATTGCGACGCCAAGATCTCAGGCGACCTCGGCGCCGAAGATTTCGATGACGGCGACCCGGCGACGCCCAGTCGCGGTTGTTGCGAGAGCGGAAACTCCGCCCAGCCGAGGGCCGCCTGGGGCCGCGACTGCTGCACGTCATGCAAACCCCCGCTGGGCCGCTCTCGCCTCGGCTCGGCCCGGGCAGTCGTCGCCGACGCCAGCGCCAGCGCCACCGTATCTTCTATCGTTGTACAACGCAAGAGGATTTCCCCAATCAGGCTTTGATGGGCCGATTTTCCACCACCACTGCCGTAGGGAGGAGAGGTGGAGGAGGAGGAGGAGGTGGAGGTGTAGGAGGAGGCGGAGGAGGAGGAGGAGGGGGAGGAGGAGGGGGATGAGGAGGAGGATGAGGATGAGGATGAGGGAGAGGAAGAGGAGGAGGAGGAGGACCTCCCCATCCTCCCTTCTCCCTCGTCCTACCTATGGTGGTGGTGGTGGAAAATTGGCCAATCAGGCTTTGCCCAGGGAGGGGTCTCTCGTCTTTGAAGAGGCTGGCGGGCGCGACGTGGTCAGGGAGACGCCTCCCTCGGGGTTCTCCAGAGTTCCGCGGCGTTGCCTGGCAATGCCGAGCAATGCCAAGCGCTGTTCGTCGGGGTTCCCCGGCGTTACTTGGCAATACGAAGCAACGCCCTGCGTTGCTCGGGGTTCACCCGTATTACTTGGCAATGCATGCCGAACAGTGCTGAACAACTCATCGCGAGGCCAAAGAACTCCAGGCAATGCCAAGTAACGCCTGTCGTAAAGAAAAGCATCTGCTTTGAAGAGGAGAAGCCCCTCCAGGCGCTGGTCACGGCGAGACAAGTGTGAAAGCTCATCACAAACCCAAACATACCGTGCGATCGGGAAGAAGTGGCACGCAAGATATGTAGAAGCGACGGGGAAACAGGATAACCGAAACAAACGAGACGACGTGGTCGTCGTTTTCTTCGGCGGCGAGGGAGGGATCGAGGACCTGATCTTAGCATGTGCTGCTTCCCCCGCGGCCCTACAACTCTTCGCCCTCGCAAGGCAACACACACACGATGTCTGGTCACTCATGCTCAACCTTTCGCGGTGGGGTGATCCCGCATGGTTTAGCTGGAATCTGCACTTCACGAACCTGACTTGCTACTGCAAAGGCTGCTACCACCCCTGTTCTTACCCTGACAAATCGTAATACCCACACCCAGATGTTTGCCTCATCGGCCATGGCCTGACAAGACTTGTACGTCTCACGGTATTTTCTTATGTGATCCCCACCAGCAGCCACAACACAAATCCTGGCGAAGGACCCAACCATATGCAATTATGAACACCGCCATTGTAAGAACTGCCTTCGGGGGAGCTCCCTATGGGCACGAATCGCGCGACGGGTGCGCCGCGATGGGGCGGGACCGCCATGCGGGCGCTGCCGCTGGAGCCTTCGGTGGAGCTCCCGATGGGGCCGCGAAACGTATGCGGGGTGTGCCAACGTGTAGCGAGGGCGGCAGGCGAGCCATGCCACTGGGGCCTTCGGTGCAGCCCCACATGGGGCCACGAAGCGTGCGAGGGGTGTGCCAATGTGGAGGGGGGGCGGCATGCGAACCATGCCCCTCGGAGGAGCTTCTATGGGGCCACGAAGCGTGCGAGGGTTGTGCCAAAGTGCGGGGGGGCGGCATGCGAACCATGCCACTGGGGCCTTCGGTGGAGCTCTCTATGGGGCCACGACGCGTGCGAGGTGCAGACGTGGAGGGGGGTGGCGGCATGCGAACCATGCGACTGGAGTTTTCGGTGGAACTCCGTATGGGGCTGCGCAGCGTGTGAGGGGTGTGCCATAGTAAAGCGGGGGGGGGAATGGCATGCGAACCACGCCACTGGGGTTTTCGGTGGAGCTCCGTATGGGGCCACGAAACGTGTGTGTCCAAGCTCTCCTCCGACGTACAATCATTACCGTTACCGGGGGGGGAGGGTGGGGGGCGGGGGGGGTCCAAATAACGACCAAAACGCGCCAAAGGATAATAAACAATCTCTAATGGGAGGACCCCTCCCGGAGGCCACGTTCCGTTGTCTCTGCTCACCCTCCCCTGCGAATTTCCTCGAAGAGCACAGCTCCCCCAGCCCAGCCCGCAGACCTCCCGGCGAGCCGCGGGCCGACCTGGGGCCTGGGCTGCTGTTGGTGTTGGCAGCGGCGGTGGAGCTGTCCGGCACGGCCGTGGAGGACGCGGCAGGGCAGGTCTGGGCGAGGCCGTCCACGCAAGCCTGGGAACCAAGCGGGCATGGGATAACCAGGAAAGCTGTGATGATGGTGGTGTTGATGATGATGATGATGATGATGTCAGGCTCCATAGGGGGCTAGGTGCCTTGGATCAGCAGCTCGCGAATGGCCCTCTTGCGCTTGGCTACTGCGCGGGCCCTCGCCCGCATCAAGGCCTCCACCCTAACAGGGCCTGCCTGAGATGACTGTGAACGGATGGCGTTATAAGTTGTGAGTAAAAGATCGTGCATTAGAATGGTACCATGCAAGGCTCGGCTGGACGGCATAAGAGGTCTCAACAGCAATCGATCGAGAGCATTCCACTCGAGAAAATCAGGCGGCAGCGACGGGATGATACTAGGAAGCAGTGGCAGCAGCACAGGACATTGAAAGTAATGCGTTATGTGGTCGGAGTCTGCGGCACCGCAGCCCATGACGCAACAACGGTTCCCTGAACGAAATCTGGCCGACGTGGGCCACGCGTTACAAACGGATTTGAGGAGAGAGGAGGCAACGAAGGGGGCTTGTTCGGTAGCGGCGAGGAAAATGGCTCGAAACATAAAATTGGCGTGGCTTACGGGGGCCTCACTCCAAGAACTTCCGAATCCTTGGGAAGAGCAGGACTGGCATCGAGGGACGTCCCTGATTTTTGGCAACGGCAATGGTGACTTTTCGCTGTATGTCGTGCGTATACTCGTTGATCGTCGGGCAAATCGTCGTGAGCTCGTTCCAGTTCTTAATCAGATTGATGATGATGATGATGACGATGATGTTGAGGATCATGATGAAGGTGACGATGACGATGGTGGTGGTGATCAGGAGGAACAAGGGAGAGGAAGGGAAGGACGACGAGGAGGAGGAAGAGCACGAGGAGGAGGAGGAGGAAAATGATGATATGTATTAGCAAGAAGAGCAAAAAGAGTATCAGGAAGGCCCTAACACGTGACAGCGTTCGTCATCATTTCTTGAGGATGTATCACAGAGCTCGTTTGGGCCGTCTTGGGGTTGTCGTGGGTTCCTTTGGGGCAGTCTTGGGGGTCCCTTGGGGCCGTCTCGGGGTTCCTCTTAAAATTCGGGCGGAACCAAAGCGAAGAACCCTGTCGGGAGGACGTGACGGTTAAGGCCCAATGGTGGTCCGAGGAAATTCGCTCTGGTCGGCCCCTGGATAGGGAAGCGTAAGCTTCAAGATGGGTTCATTCTCGACTCCCACCTTGGGCGAAACCTCCCGTCTACGTACAATCAAGCCGTGCACTAAGAATGCGCGCCTCGGATGCAAGAGCCTCGGCGCGCCGCGTTGACGTCATTCGAGTGGAGCTGGTCTGCGAAAGTTGCCAGGGACAGGCCGACGGGGCAAAAATGCAAGGACAATCTTGGAGGTCGCCCATCCTCACCACGCGGGTTGACTGAACCCAAGCTGAGGTACGGGAGCTGGAACTGTCGCCCCGGGGGGTCTCGCTCGGTTTCGGGCCCCGGGGTCGTCGCAGGTCGATCCGGCCCAGAGAACGCCGCCAAATCGAACCTTCTCACGACGTTGCAGTTTTGCCCGACGTCGGTTCTAAGGGGACTCACAGCGAGGGTCCTGTTTCCCCCATTCTAAATCAGTGAGAGGAGGAGGGAAAGGAGAAAGAGGAGAACAATGAAGAGGAAGAGGAGGAGGAACAAGAGGAAGAGGAGGGGGCGGAGGACAGGAAGAGGAGAAGGAGCGGCAGCGTGCGCACCACACGTCAAACCGCGCCGGCAATAGCGGGGCGAACGCCAGCCGACAAGCAGACCTGGGCTGCGCAAGGCGATGCCGTTGTCATCGTCGCCGGAACTTGTGGGGACCACGTGGAAAACAAATGCTTCCAACCAGATAGCGTCTGAACGAGATCCGATAGGCTCGCAAGCAATGAATAAGAAGAGGAGGGGCTGCCCGTGTGAGATGACATAGCCGCGAGTTTGCCCGGAGGTTCGGCCGGAAACAATGCCATCGTCGCGACCCGCACATGCACTCGTACAGTCAAGCCAAAATACAGATCCAAGGAGCCGAAACCCGTCGATTCCGCATGTTGGCTTTCGGTTCATGACCTGGTGCGAGCGGCGAAACGATCTCCCCCGCGCCCGCACTTATCAGCAGGAACACCGCGACGAACCAGAAGCCGGCTACGACGAGGACCTCCACCTCCTCCTCCGCCTCCTCTTTCTCTGCTCCCGCTTAGTAGTAGTAGTAGTAGTAGTAGTAGTAGTAGCAGCAGTAGAGGTCGTAGTAGTAGTAGTAGTAGTAGTAGTAGTAGTAGCCGTAGTAGTAGTAGTAGTAGTAGTAGTAGTAGTAGTAGTAGTAGTAGTAGTAGTAGTAGTAGTAGTAGTAGTAGTAGTAGTAGTAGTAGTAGTAGTAGTAGTAGTAGTAGTAGTAGTAGTAGTAGTAGTAGTAGTAGTAGTAGTAGTAGTAGTAGTAGTAGTAGTAGTAGTAGTAGTAATAGTGGTAGTAGTAGTAGTAGTAGTAGTAGTAGTAGCAGCAGTAGAGGTCGTAGTAGTAGTAGTAGTAGTAGTAGTAGTAGTAGGAGTAGTAGTAGTAGTAGTAGTAGTAGTGGTAGTAGTAGTAGTAGTCGTCGTCGTCGTCGTAGTAGCAGTAGTAGTAGTAGGAGTAGGAGGACGAAGAGGAGGAGGAGGTGGAGAAGGAATCGAGAGGAGGAGGCGGAGAAGAAACATGCGCGTGGGAGGATGAAGAAGAGGGAGGACCCGAGAACAGTACTGGAGAGGAGGAGAGAAGAGAAGATAAGAGGAGAGAGGAGTTGGAAGACAAATGATGTAATCCGAAGAGCATGCGGAAATGTAACCATAGGACGGAAGAGGGGAGGAAGAAAAGAAAAGTAAAGAGAAGGGTGGACGATTCAGGGGGAGGATGGCCAAAGACGAGGAAAGGGAGGAGGGATCAGGAGACATCACAGAGGTTCGACGAGCCAAGGTTCGCCAGGGTCCGCGGCTACAAGCGCCGCGCGGGCCAGCATCTTACGGCGGGGTATGTAGCAGGGGCGGCGGGGTGACCTCCCGCCTGGCGCGGTCCAGGGGGGCCCGCCTTGAAAAAAAGGGCGAGCGGCGGCGAACCGGCCACTATGGGGCCCGTCTGCGCCCCCGTGGCAGAAGCGCTGCCTCTACACGCGCCTTTTGGCTTGGGCGACGCGGCCCTCAGGACAACGAAAGGCGCCGTCTCGGGGCCCAAGAAGTGCAGACGACGGTGCAAGCGCCAACTGTGCTCGGGCCAGCACGGGTGTGCCGCAGGGATCGGCCTAAACGCTGTTTTTCGTTTTCGTTTTGTTTTCGTTTTCCCTCGTTCTGTCTTCAATCCGCTTCTACCGCAAAACGAAGCCGAAACGAACACGGCCCACGAAATCGCCAGAACACCGTTTGGGTCCATCCCTGGCGTGCCGCCTGTTGCGCGTCGAAGAGGCTTGGGGGTTGCTAGGGAGGGGCGCCCCGCCCCCAAAGCGGCAGTGGGTCGGAAAGCCTGCCGCAGGCCGCTCCAGGCATCGTGCGCTCGGTGGGACCTGTCGATCGGCAGGGATGATTGTTCACGTCGTTGGTGGAGGAAGAGCGCTACAGTCAACCAGTAGAATAAGGATGCGCGATAAGGACGCAAAGGCCTTGGACGCCCATTTCGAAACTTCCCGACCGGGGGGCGGCCAGCGAAAGCGGCGAAGGATGGACCGAGGAGGCGAGGATGCAAGGGTCCCCTTGGGAAGGTTGCCCATCCTTACTATCATGGTTTACTGTAGCTGAATGGTGGAGCGCCAGCACACTGTCGGTGAGGGTGTTCCCGCGGACCCTTTGTTGCTGGCTGTTCGCCGCCGCGAAGTGTTACACGTGGCTTGCCGGCCGCCCGTGCGTTGGGCGGTCCCTTTGGCCTGGTGGCAGTCACTCCGCGGCTGGCTACCACCCTTGTCGGAACACACACTGGTGGGCCGACTGAGAGGGCTGGCTGCCTTAGGTGTGGTGGGTGGCCACCGCACTCTGCCACACCTGGTCGTTGGCGGGCTGGGCGCTAGCCAGTGCAACAGGGTGGTCAACCGCAGTGCTGTTATGGTCAGGGGGGTGTCTGTGAGTGGGGAAGTCGGTATTTTCCTCGTCGTTGGGAGAAGCACCAAGCCCTAGCGGGTCGAGGTCCTCACCTTCGAAATCGTCCGTGCGTGTGGCCCAAAGGTCGTCGAGCTCGTCCAATGGTCGAGACCTGGTTGCCCGTCCATGGGAGGTGGTCCTCCTCGTGCGCCTGAGCCGTGCCCCCCCCCTGGCCAATGATTAGCGGGCTTCGTGCATTCCTAGAGAGCTCCGTCCTGGAATACCCCGCTCTCCTCCGAGGGAGCGGCAGCGTACGGTGTCGCAAGTCATAGATGGCAGCGACCGTGGTGTGTAGGACAGCGGCGAACTTGTGTCGCCACTTGGCGACGTTACATCAAACTTTGTGGAATGCGGTGAAACCTCGCCCCTGAGTGGCGAGTTCGTTAGCATGTCGGTTGAACGCTTCAGCGATCGGAATGATGCACCCTTTTTGGATACCTTGCTTCCCCAAGCGGCGTCCCACCTTTTGAAATTTGAGCAGATCGGGTTTTGCCAGGAGCACCGAATGATATTTCTGCCACAGATCGGGTTGTGGCCACACGCGTTGTGGTGGTTCTCCCTTGAGCAGGCCTTCAAACCCGTCGACGACCGACTGATTATCAGAGGGATCAGGAGGGAGGGGGAGTGAGGGGTGGGGAAGCAGATGGAGGAGGGACCAGTACAAGAAAATGAAGATGTCGGTGGAGGAGGAAAGAGGGGGGAGGCTACAGGGGAGGGGGGAGGGGAAGGAGAGAGGCGGCGGGAGGAGGAAAGACGAGTGAGGAAGACGACGGGGAGGTGGAGGAGACCGATGGAGGAGGAAAGGAGATGGAGGAGGAACGAGGAGGACACCGAGGCATCAATCGGAGGAAAGTTAACTACACGGCCTCCGAGAAACTCGTGGCCGACCCCAGGCGTGCGCTTGAGCTGGCGCTGGCGCTTCGCGGCTCCAGAGGCCCCGCTTTTTCAGTCAGCACCTGCCCGAATGGCCCTCCGTGGCGCACACCAGCTGACCAGCTGTTTTCAGCCCTCAGGTTCGCCCTGGCGGCGGCTGCGTTATCAGGGGAACGAAGAATGACATAAACACAATAAGTCGGAGGTCCGCGCGGATTGCTCGGATACGCGCTGGGGCCCCCTGGCGGCGCCTCCGGCGCCGCCCCTGGCGCCCGCCGCGCGCCAGGGGGATCCACGCGGACGGCATTTTTCGTCCCCCTAGTCATACAGACCAGGCCGAAGGGAGAAAACGATTACCCCTCCTTATCTGCTGTGGGTGTGACTGTCCTAGACAACATAGTCCCACAACGCTCGAGGATGATGACACCGAAAAATACCGATACCACAACTCCCCAGACCGAGGCGACTCCTGCCGTGGCGACGAGGGCCTCGCAGGAGGCCCAACAAGGTGACACCGGCGCCAGAGTAGCAGTATCGGCACCTCTTCCTCCGCACAGTTCCGTGCCGCAGGGATCGATCTAAACAGTGTTTTTCGTTTTCGTTTTGTTCTCGTTTTCCCTCGTTTTGTCTTCAATCCGCCTTTGCTGCAAAACGAGATCGAAGCGAAAGAGGCCCACGAAATCGCAAAAACACCGTTTCAGTCGACCCCTGCCGTACCGTTCGAGGAGGAGCAGCAGGAGGGAGAGAGCAAGGACGATGCGACAGAGAGGAGCGGCCCCCCCGCGCGCTGCCCGAAGAACTGTGCATGCCACCTCTCAGTTCTGTGTCAGGGAGACGTAAGACTCGGAGTCAAGGGACTCCGGTGGCCCTTCCCGGCCGTTCAGGAACATGACGAGGCCCAATCTGAAATTTGACACGAACTCCCACTGCAACTATCCCACGAAGAATGGATGGTCACAATTCAGGAGGGGCGCGTCGAAGAGGGTCGGCAAACCCGGGTTCCGGCGAACTAGAGTCTTAAGTACGCTGCCCCGACTTTGATCCGTTCCCTAGGGGAACGAAGAATGACACAAACAAAAAAACTCGGAGGTCCGCGCGGATTTCTCGGTCGGCGCTGGACCCCCCTTCCCGGCGCGCGGAATGCGCCAGGGGCGGCGCCAAGGGTGTCCAACGCGGATCCGAGAAATCCGCGCGGACCTTCGAGTTGTCATGTCTTTGTCAGTGTTCGTTCCCCATACAGTGGAGGCCACTCCACAAGAAACCTTCCACCAGAAACCCAACCCTGAGACCCCAGGACGCCCCCTGATCTTTGGCGTGGGAACGCCGCGCTCTCCATCGCAAAACCATCAAAACACAAGAAACCCAGGGCACCCTGGAGGCAGGCAGGGTGTTTCTTGGCATGGGCCTCCACTGTAGCTTAAACTTTCGGTGGCCCGTGCGGATTTCTCGGATCAGCGCTGGGGCACCCCTGGCGGCGCCTCCGACGCCGCCCCCGGCGTGCTCCGCGTGCCAAACAAAGGGGGATCCAGCGCCGAAAACTCCCCGCGGGCCTCCGGAAGGTTTACGTGCGTGCGTCCGCCCGCTTCTTCCCCCTCCCCCGCCCGGTGGCAGCCGAGGCATGGCCACCCCAGCGCCGATCAAGACCACGAGCTCTCTTCGCCGAGCACCCACGGGGCTCGGCGGCGCGCCCCCGGGGAGGGGGCAGCAGACAGGGGGGGGGGGCGGGCCCTCCCACGGGTAGGCCCTCTGCGAAGACTTCGGGGCCTCCTCCGAAGACAGAGGCGGCTTCTCTTGGTCAGGGCTTGCTCATTCAGCGATTCGACATTGGGCGGAAGGGGGGGGGGGGAGGGGGAGGGTCTGGCTCCGGACCTGTGCTGTGAGTGCGACTGTTTGCAGCAGTGCGTCCTGTGGGGGAGGCTCCACCTGTTCGAAACAGGCGCCAAAAACAGCCAAGATCTACTTCATAAGGGGAGGGGGTGCGAGGGCCCGCGCCGATCGGCAAAACAATGAGTAAGAAAACTATCACTTGGCGGCGCGCAGAGGGGGGTAGGGGGAGGGGGGACGGCTCCTTAGAAGGAAACTGCCTCTCAGAAGGCGCCCGCCTTCCGTCTACGGAGAAGGCCCGCGCCCTCTTAGAAGCAGGGAGATGCTTCTAAGAAGCCTTCCCCCCTCCCCCTGCCCCCCTATGCGCGTGGCCGATCCTCACGGGGAAGCAAAGCGGCCGTGGCGACCAGGGCCTCCCAGGAGCCCACCGAACGGGAAAACGAGAGAAAGGTAGCGGTATGGGTGCCTTTTTCCTCTGACCTCAGAGGGCCCAGAGGGCTTCTGAGAAGCCCCGCCGCCCTTTGGGAAGGCCTGACCCCTCTCACTGAGCCCCTCGGCGCCCCGCCGAGAGGCCCCTTGGAGACGCCCCAAACGCAGCGCATTCCAAGGTGGAGAGCCCACTGGCGAAAAACATCAAATGAGCGATGAGCTTAGCGCCCTTACGCGGTGGCTTACGCGGGCCGCCCGCGCGGCACGCCCCATTGGAGACGAGGGCGCCTACGCTCACGCGGGCACCTCATATGCGCCAAGGTCGGCGCAGACGACCCCGTCGTTCTTGCGGCGCCCACCTACGACAAAGACATTAAGAATGGTAGCCCCTCCGAGGCTCAGGCTGCTCCTGACCCTCTCGTGCCAGCTGTGCCGCCCACGCTCTGTTGGATCGGGCATGTTCCCCACACAGGCGAACTTTGGGCGACAAATCAAACGTTAGACAGAAAATGCCCACAACGAGTCGAAAACACATCAGAAACATCGTCCCCAGACTTTTTGTTTTAAACTATGTTCGAAATCTCCCCCTGTAGAGGGAAAGGCCCGACTGAAACGCTCTGCCCTGGGCGCAGCGCCCCCACGCAGTGGAGGCGGCCGCAGCGCCTGACTCTGCCGCTTGGCCTCGTGCCGGCGCGCGTCCTGGCCGCGAGATCGCCGCCGCCGCCGCCAGGCCCCCCGAGCGGGGGAGCGACGGCCTCCCTGCCGCCTCCTCCTCCTCCTCCTCCTCCTCCTCCTCGACCTCCTCCTCTTCCTCCTCGACCTCCTCCTCCTCCTCCTCCTCCTCCCCCTCCTCCTCCTCCGCCTCTTCCTCCGCCTTTTCCTCCTCCTCCTCCTCCTCCTCCTCCTCCTCCTACTCCACCTCCTCCTCCTCCTTCTCCACCTCCTCCTCCGCCTCCTCCTCCTCCCACCACATCCTCCCTCTCCACCATGGTCACAGCCAGAGATCCGACGTACTGAAAAAATCACGACGGAGGCGTTTCGCCATTTTTGGCCTCTGGCGGCCTTCGCCAGGCCATGGGACTGTCAAAAACGACTCGGGATGAGACACCGGTGCTGGGGGATGGGTCGACACTTCCGGGGACCCTGTATTGAAACAAGCACGCCATCGGATCGATGGGCGGCCAGCGCGCGTGCCAATCGATGATGCGCCCGATCTCGCTCGCTCCCTATCCTGCAGGCTGCTCGCCGTGTGAGCGCAGATCGGGCGGCACATGCCCCTCTGATCTCAGAGTGAATGGCTGCCAGTACCCCGAAAGTGGACGTAGCAGATGTCCAAGATGCACCATGCATGCGTGCGTATGTGGAAGGAAACAGTCAGAGCCTTGCCATGAGGAGCCTTCAAAAAAGATCACGCCCTTGTTAGGCCCAAGTCGCGCAAGTCATCCATCACCTTCACCATTCCTCGATCCTCCTCCTCTCTTCCCGATCGCCGCCGTCAGAAGGAGGACATGAAAGAGGAGAGAAAGGAAGAGCGGAGATGAGGGAGGGCGAGGGGGGAGAGGAATGGGGAAGCGGAGGAAGAGGAGGTGGAGGGGAGAGAAGGGTGAAGGACGATGACGGGGGAGGAGGACACGGCCGACTTGTGGACCGACTGAGATCTTGCGTGTGCGCCCGTGCTTAGTCAGCCTACTCCCTCCGCTGCTCAATCCTCCTCCTCCTCATCATCCTCCTTCTCCTCCTCCTCTTCCTCTTTCTGCCTCCTAGCCTCCCTACTTCTGCGGGCGCTGTCACCACCAATCCTTGCGGCTCCCTGGAGGGCTGCCAACTGCGCAACTGTCGCTTCTTTCGTGGGCTCCTGGGAGGTCCAGCGAATGCGGGAGGCGAGACCCTGCGGCTCCCTGAGAGGCTGCCAACTGCGCAACATTCGCAATTTTTGTGGGTTCTGGGAAGTCCAGCCGAGCAGATTGGCCTCGCAGCGTATTCTTTCGTATGGAGTATGGAGCGTTCATATCATGAGTCGCCTCGCGGGGAAAATGGGTCGGGCACATCTCGGGCATTTCGGCTCCAACGCGCCAGTGTCGTCGCCAGCGTCAGCGTCGTCATGAGCATCGTCGTCGTCCTTCAAGGTCGGCGGCATCAGCCGCCAGGCCTTTGCAGTAGCCGCCTCGGGTGGAGAACAAGTTGGGCACACTCGGGGATGAGTGGAGAGGACACGCGAGAAAACACAATGTACTTCCGAGGCCCACATTGCCGTAGGGATGCAAAAGGCATGGGCCGCGAAACGCAGGACATAAGGGTACCCCTGATTTGTCAGGGCCGACCCACTGGTCGGCCTCGACTGTGCCGCTGGGTTGTTGGCTCATTTGACCCGCAAAGAGGCACGAAAAAAAATCGCGCCTACGCTTAGGTCTGGCATGTCCCCCTACCGGCGGATTTTGGGCGAGAAATGAAGCATAGCCAAACAATACTCAGAAATAGTCAAAAAGAATAGAACTATCGTCCCCAGACGATCGCTTCCCGCAGAACCCGTTCCCCCATGGCGACAGAATAAGACCGGCAGGGGCTGAGCACGTCTCGGAGAAGAATCTGTTCCGTGCGTCGGGGCCGCGTCGTCGTCGTCGTCGTCGTCGTCGTCGTCGTCGTCGTCGGTATTGGCGTCGGCGTTGGTGTCGACGTCGGCGGCACCGTCGTCTTCGGCGTGGCGGGCGGCGACGCCGCGCGGCGGCGGCGGCGGCGGCGGCCGCGCGGCGCTCCCGCAGCCCCGCGGCGAGGAGCGAGGCGCCCCGGGACGGGGCGCCGAGCGGCGCGGGCACGCCACGCGGCGGCGGCGCGCCAGCGGGGTGCCGCTCGGGGTGGCCCGGGTCCTGGGGCCACGTCGAGGCGCGGGGCTGGCGGGCCTCGGCGGGGGCGGGGGGGAGGGGGGGGGGAGGCAAGCTCCAGCCGCGCTCGCGTCATAGCATAGCTGACGTCCTGCCCCTCCCTCCCATCCCTTACCGGGTCGTATATCTCCGCTCTATTCACACAATCGGATGTCGCAGCATGGCGTAGCATTCCATGGCATAGCATGATGCTGAAGACTAACGCGTGGCATGACATAGCACGGCGTGGCGACGCCCCAAGTGGGGTGGGGCTTCCGTGTCCCAAAAAATCAACGAATGGACACCGAATGTGGAATCACTTCGGATGGTCTCTTCGGGAGGCATGTTTCTAGATTTTGGGGCTTCTTTTGAAGGACCGAAAACCATGCCGTGACATGGCATTGGAAATAATGACGCCAACGCTACAGCGGGAGCACGATCCGGAGCGAGCGGAAGCGCGGAAATGAGGCCAACGCTGCAGCGGAAGCACGTTTCGGAACGGGCGGTAGCCCGAACATGAGGCCAGCGCTTGGAGGGGGAGAGGGCGGAGGGGAGGGGGGGAGGGCGGAGGGAGGGCGGGGGGGGGGGGAGGGAGGATGGGGGAGGGATGGAGGAAGGCTGTGGGAGGGGGGGATTGAGGGACGATTGGGGGAGAGGAGGACGGAGGGAGTGGATGTTTGTTCGCCGACAACGATGGCCCCATGCACCGATGTCAGGTTTCTGACATAAGAAGGGGGATTTGGCAAGCTGTCCTGCCGCAAGACTGTCATCGTCCCTTCCTCTCCAGTTGACCGGAAACCCTGGGGGAAGATGGAGAAAGTAGAAATGACAAAGATGTAGGGGGTGCAATGCTTTTTCCAACAAGACGGCCGACGCGGACGGGGCAATGTGGTGCCTGCCTGACACGCGTAATATCACGTGCACGGCAAGATCCTTGAGGGTTGGAGCGGCAGCGGTAAGACAAGCCTGTGGATCGTTCGAATTGGGGAAAATGGAGGAGGGAAGGAATGTGGGAGGGGGGAGGGGCGGAGGTTGGTGGCGTTGGTCGCCGCACAAGGGGGAGCAAGTCCCGAGCTGAGCAACACGCACCAGCACCGCGACGACGAGAGGGCGACGACGACGACAGAGACGAGGCGCGCTCACGAGCCGCACCGATGCAAGGACTTGGGCAAGGGCCCACCCTGCGATGCTTGGCACACCACGTCGTCGAGCGGTGCTGCGGCCTCCCTCCCCCGAGCACGTGCCTCCAAACCACCCCCCCGGAGCAGCAGCCAAACAGTCCTCTGCGGGCGTGCGTCATCATGCATCATGCCTAGTCAGCTCAGCCCAAGTGCACGTGCCCGCACCCTAACCCCCAGGCTCGCCGGGGTCACCGGCGAGGGAGAGCGCGGAGGTGGCTGGCGGTCGACGCGCCCCAGAGCAAATGCAGAAGCTCTGAGAGCGCGGTCCTCAAAAGCGGCGACGGCTCCCACGTAGGCGCCAACAGGGCCCGTGCACCGAGTGACGGCGGATCAATCCAAGATGATGATTCAGCTCCGTGCCCGCAGCGTGAGCGCAGCTCCCCCGCAGCGTTGCACTCGCCCGTCCTTCTCCGCCACTGCGTTGCCAGCAGGGCTCATTCCGCAGGCTGGCTTTTCCAGCGTGGCCTCCCCGAAGCAACGGGACTCGGCGGCCTCCGGATGCAGTCGACAAGATGCGGAGAGGCCCCCTCAGAGTGAGTCCAGATGCGGCCGCGCTGGTCTGACAGAACTATGTGGGGGCTCCAGTTTTACTTCGCTAACTTCCTGACGCAGATGTTTGGCCTGTCGCGAAAGCTTGGCCTTTGAGCAAACACTGCTTCCTCTCCGAACGTGTCATGGCGGCAAGATCTCAAGACTTTCACTGAGCCGATTGGGGATCAAGACGTTGCAGTCATCACGGCGGCGGCGGCGACGGCGACGACAGCTGCGGCGGCGGCGGCGAAGACTCGGGGGAGAAGGCAAAGGCCTCGACTGGCTCAGGGGGAGGGAACCATCCACCTGGAACCGGTGATACATCGCCGAGGAATCGGCGGCAGGCCCCAGTGGTGCCTAGCCGCGCGGCCCTGGGCAGGGCGGGCTATCGGGCGCCCATCGGCGATCAATGTGCGATTGGCTACGCCACGAAAGTATATACACAGACGCCCTCCGACGAACTTTGCGTGTAACTTCAGGGAGGGCGGCGGTGTATCAAGTCGCTGGCTCACAGTGGCGATGTATACACCGCCACTCTCCCCCGAGGCCTAGGGACAAGCCATTGGAGAACGTATGCGTACATATTCGGCGGTGGACTTTAGCAAACCTCCCCTTAGTGAAAGCGGCCTCGGACCGAAACCGACGGACCTGGAGACGCCCCCTCGCGAACCGAAAACGACCAATTCCTTCATCGACGTGTCAGGGTAGGAGGTCGATCAACCTCCGACGATAGCTGGCCCCAGAGACCGACATCGAGGAACAGCAAAAGACCCGATAGAATATGTCGTCGGGGATCCTCGTCTGGCTTTCTGGTCCGTAGCTCGGGCTCGCGGCGGCATACGAGGGCTTCCTTTCCAAGGGGGCTGTGCGTTCGGAAAAGGGGCTTCTGCGGGATCGCTGTGCTCGGCTCGTCTATTCGGTCGTCCCTCGCACGTTTCGTTGGTTTCGTCTCGCGCGCAGGCGCCCTGTTCCAAGGGTCGGGGTCCAGCGTTCTGGAAAGGCTTGAAGAAGAGGGCCGACCATTCCCTGTCACACGCGAAGCGCCCTGTCACTCTGGGAGAACTGCGAAGCTATCAGACCGCCCGCCTCAAAGCAGGCAGCCCGGCAGCCGTCCGAGACATCTCTATAGCAGCGATGTTGGTGTTTGTTTAGGAGTTGAGACTCTCGCGCTTCGGCGTCTAGACGTATCCTTGCGTGTAGATTTCGCATCAATTTCTGTAGCCCGTCAGAAGAACGACCCGTTCGGCCAGGGCATGGTGTGTCACATCCCCCGGATTGCAGACACGCCGACGCTATCCCCTTGCCACCTCTTGAGGGGATGGTTGGCGCACCGCGACGCGCGCTGAGGAACCGACCCAGATGCGCCGGTGTTTTGCACAACTCATTTAGCAGAGCCCCGCGCCATGAGTTGTGATTCCTTCCGCCGAAATTTGTTCCAGTTTTTTCAGAGTGCCGCGGTGGGAACGCACTCGTTGCGCAGAGGCGGCGCCCACTGGCACAAAGCGGTTTGCAACTTACCAGAAGAGCCGGTGCAGGCTCAGGGCGGTTGGTCAACCCTACAACCATGCGAGCCTTCTACGCCCGTTTCTCAGATTCGGAGCGGTGCGATCAGCTAGTGCGCGCCGTGTCTGCGGTTTCGAGTCCCGTGGCGGAGCCACTACTCAAACCCAGACGCACGTTTCACCCATGCCTCCGTGGAGGCGCCTCATTGGGGGCCTGTAAGAACTCGCCTCTTCGGGGTTGTGCCTGGCCGACGCTCCTGGCGACCGCTCCTGGGTCGCCACGGACTTGGGCCAGGCCGGCCTGCAGCCCGATGTAGCCACCCCACAAGAGGCAGATGTTGCCAGACGCAAGACTGATTTGGCCTGTCACAGGGGGCCTTGACGAAAAGCAATCCCTCTCTCGCTTCCGCCCTTTCCTCCGTGCAGCGAATAATCGGGGATGGACAGACCTCCCTTTAGTAAAACGTGGTTTAGTGAAAACGCCCTTGGGCCCAAACCTGGCAAACGCAAGCCTGGAAAACAACGGCCACGGCGCCCTCTCGAAGACCGAAAACGGACAATTCACTACTCGACGTGTCACCATTGGGGGTTCTGTCCTCCCCCGAAAAATAAGCAGAACCCGGCAACCCCGAGAAGCGCCCTCGATGGGGCGCGGACCCCCCCCCCCCCGCTCCCCGGGCCCGGCGGCTCTCGGACCATGCCCCGGGCCTCCCGCGGCCGTGGGGGGGGGACCAGCGCTGCGGGCACCCCCGGGGGCACGCTCTCGGGGAGGCGCAGCCGCTGCCAGTCACCCCGAGGCCCGGAGACCACCGGGGACCGACGAGAACGCCCGAACCTGGAAACCGACCCCCAGGTTTTCGCTCGTCCACTTAAGTGTGTTATAACAGTGTACGGAAAATCTTTGTTCGATGTTGATCTACATGTATTGTTACTGAATACCAAATGCTTCTATCAACATCTTACATAATTCACGGACGACTTTTCCGGTGGCGCTGGACGCCTTGTGACTACAAGCCAAGACGAGGCCAAGGTCGCGCGAGGACAAATCGAGAATCTCTGAGATCCGGCGGCCCTGGAGGATGTCTCGGGCGCCGCAGCCTTCTCAGAGCGCTCGGGAACGCTCTGTAGCGGATTTATCCTTTCCAGCCCAGCCCAACGATCCCCCTAACTGAAGAGCCCACGGGCTAATCCCAGGATTCCCCCAAATTGTCCTATATTTCTGGATGCTCGTCTTCCCCTCCACTTCCCATCTTTCCCACACTTCCCTGGGAATCAGCGATTCTTTGTCTGTGCTAGAAGAAGATGACGCGCCATAAACATAAACTTTGTGGCGCTCGGGGCGGATTTCTTGGATCTGCGCTGGATCCCCCTCCCGCGGAGACGCCGCTGGGGGGCCCAGCGCGGATCCAAGAAATCCGCGCGGAGCGCTCAAAGTTTCCGTTTATGGCGTGCTTTCTTCTTCGAAGCGTTTTTTTCCCCCTCCTGACCAACATTGCCCCAGCTCGCGGCCTCCCGAGCTGGCGCCGCATGGTGGGCGCCGCTGCTGGTCGACTGCCAAGGGCTGCCGCCCCCCGCGCCCCGCAGCGGCTTGCCCCCGTGGCGTTTGGTGCGGTCGCGGTCGGCCTGCGGAGGAAGGGGGGCGGGAGGGGAGAGGGAGGAGAGGGACAAGGAGGAGGAGGAGGAGGAGGAGGAGGAGGAGGAGGAGGAGGAGGAGGGGGGCGGGAGGACTACGTAAGGGGCGGGGGTCGGGTAAGTGAGGGCCAGGTGGAGGGAAGCTGAGGGGTGGGGGGGACAGGAGGTGAGGGGTGGGCTCGTATGGATGGCAAGAGGAGGTGGAGTATGGGGTGAGGTGAGGACGGGGGGAAAGAGAAGGAGGGGAGGGGCTCTGTTGGTGCGTTCGAGTCATACCTGTCATCATACCCGCCCCCCCATCCTTTACCGTGGAGTTGAGCCCCCCTCAATTCGCAGAGTCGAATGTCGAAGAGAACACAGTGGCCAGCGCGGCAGCGAGAGTGTCGTTGCGTATCCATGGACGGGAACTGCAGTTCTGCTGATGCGCGGAGCAGCGGGAAATACATTTCTGCTGATGCAAAGGCACGGCCAACGCTGCGGCGAGAGCGTCGCTCCATAGTGCGGATATCCGATGGATCTCATGAAGCGTGGCAGCGGGAGCAACACTTTTGCCGACGCAAGGATACGGCCAACGCCGCGGGGAGAGCGTCGTCCCGTTGGACAAAACTCTATCAAAATCGTTGAACGTTGCCATAACCCTAGCCAGGCCACACTTGCTGAAGGACCAGGAACGTTCCGAATGGAAAACTAGTTCGGATATCACAATTGGGCAATCATGTGTGTTTGGAAGAGAGGGAGAGACACACACGAAAGAAAGACAGAGAGTAAGACAGCAACAAGAAACATATCTACCAACATAAATGCGTATAAGCCATACAACCATACGTATACGGGATAGGCGAGCAGCATAAAGACAGTACCAGCATCAAAAGGAAGGGAAGAAAGAACTACGTATTCACATTCCGTGATTGAAGAGGGGGGGGAACGGAAGAAGGAAGACGCGGCAAGGGGGGCGAGAAGGAGAGCGGAGGTACTTTGTAAGGGAAGAGGGAGGAAAAGGACGGAGAAGGAGAGGGGATGGAGGGAAAGGTGGATGGTGAGGATGGACAGGAAAGGACTACAAGAACAATCGGGACTACGAAACCCACACCGTCAGCGACGGCCATGGCGGACAAAAGCGGCGCCTCGCCCCCGAAACGCCGCTCAGCGCGCCACACGACCCCGAGCTGGACCTCTGATCCGCGCGTGCCTTCGACGGAAGGCCCTGGCGCAGGCGCGCGAACTTGCCGCGGCCGTTTGTCTTGGCCAGCAGGCGCAATCACCCATCGGTCGGAAGGAGTAGATAGAAACGTGAAGTAGGAAGGCGTTGAAAATAGACTGGGTGTCCGCACGCCCCCTTGGGAGGACGGACGATGTGAAGCCACTCGATCCTTGAAGTAGGAAGACGGCTAAAGTAGATTGGAACCTGGGACTCCAAAAATACCTACTTTCAATGACCGATGGGTACCCTTGCTCTTCGCTCGTGGCAACTTGGCCGCCGCGTACCGCCAGCACCGCACGGCCGCCGCGCAATGCGTCGCCTGGGCGCCCGCCGCGCGACTTCTACCCCTCTTCGGGGCGCAGGCTGGCAGCGGAACCGCTGTATCCTGGGCAGCAACCACGTCGTGTGGCGGCCCCGCGCACCAGTGGCTCTGCATCCAATCGGCAAGGCAGTCCTTGCCTGGCCCCTTCGAATAATACCCACGCCGCCCATTGCCCCGAACGATGCCGTGCCCCGAGCTCTCGTCCAGTTGACACCTCCTCTCCCTGGCCACCTCCGTGGGGGAGGGCCCTGTGCATCGAAGCTTTGCAGCGCCGCCGCAGACCGCTGCGTTGATTGCCCCCAGCCTCTGGTGAATGCGCATCGGAAGGAATTTCCATCTCTGCGAGAGCGCGCACCTGTGGCTCCACTTCGTTGATGGCCTCGTCAGCCCTTCGTTGCGCCAGGGCGTCGGCCGACTACATGGCCTGCTGGGACTGCTCGACGGAGGCACTGTCAAGGTAGAACCACGCCGTTCGCTCCATCCTGTCGCTGCTGCTGGGCTTGGTGAGCTCGGCACCACTAGCGCGCTAGGGGTCCCTGGGAAGCGGGAGGACGAGCAGGTAGGCGGGAGAGGTGGAGGAGAGGGACAGGATAGGGCAGGAGAGTGAAGAGGACGGGTGGTGGGGGGGGGGGGGGGGAAGAAGGGGAGTGACGGCGAGGAGGACGACCGGGGAACGGATGGAGAGGACACGTGGAGAGGAGGGACGGAAGAGGGAGAGGGGGGAGGGAGGGAGACGGGGAGGAAACGATACGCAGCAGCAGCAGCAGCCTGATTTCACAGCGGCTCACCTCCTCGGCCCACTCTCGGACCACCGACCTCTCCTGGAGCTGGTGTGGCCAGGAGTTCAGAGCGGATCCAGGTGTGGCGACGAGGGTCAAATCTGCCCCAAACAAAAAAACGATTCCTCCTCCTCCTCCTCCTCCTCCTCCTCCTCCTCCTCCTCCTCCTCCTCGTTCGCTTTCCACTTGGCTTCTCCTCCCTTCTGCTTCCTTGTCCCCAATACGTATGCATTGTCAGCGCTACTCACAAACGCATGCAATATCTCGACCGTCGATGAAGTCCAGATTTGGGGGGATGAATGGCGAAACGGAGTGGAATGACGGAGACAAGATCGTCTCTGCCGTCCAGCCTCTTCCGCCCTCGATGCCTTCCTCCCCTCATGACTCGTGACGTTGGTTTCTCACACCGCACGGATTGCTCAACATTCAACGATCCCGCATGTTTACCCGACAGCGGGAGAGGGAGGAGGAAGAGGACTGAGAAGGGGAGGGAATGGAGGGAAAGGTGGATGGTGGGGATGGACAGGAAGGGACCACAGAAACCATCGGGAATACGAAACCCACACCGTCAGCGACGGCCACGGCGGGCAACAACGGCGCGCATGTTTAACCGACAGCGGGAGACAAACTCAAGGCTGGCCTGGTCGGGGCCACCAGCGGCCTCCCACCTTGAGCGCCTGCGCTGAACCTCCCCTCTGCCACCGCCTCCCCTGCCCGTCTCCTCCCACCACTCGCCTGTCCTTGCCCCACCTCCCGCTGCCCATGCCTCTCCACCCCGCCCCCGCTGCCCCCCCTCTGCATCCCCCCGTCCCTGCCGCCCCCCACTCCCGCTCCCGCCTCCCTTCTGCTGCCCCATCCCTTCTCTCCGTGCCCCTCTACCCTCGCGCCCCTTCCCTGCCTCTCCCGCCCTGCCTCCCCATCCCTAGGTCGCTTTCTGCCTCTCCTTCCCCCCCCCCGCTCTTGACTCTCCCCCCTCCCTCCCACAATTGCCTTTCCCTTTCCCTCTGTTCGGTCCTGGCGATCCGCCACTGAGAGCCACAAGCCTCTCTCTGAGTCTCGGGGTACGCCCGGATATCCGCCGGCGATTACAGCAGCCCCAGCCGCGCAGCTCGTTTTCAAAGGACCAAAGGGATGGTCCGACAGGGAGAAGCGGGCCAAGCGGACCAACGTTCCCTTCCTCTCTCCGCCCGTTCCTCCTTCTCGCTGCCCGTGCTCCCCTCCCTGCCTTCGTCGCCCTCGTCCGTGCACCTCCTCGTTTCCGTGTCGGTCCCCACCCCCCTCCTGGAGCGCGCTGGCCAGGGTCCTGGGGTGGATGCCCCTGCGGCCGTCCCTGACGCCCACGGGGCCGAGAGTCTCCCCGATGGCTTCATTGGCGGGTCCAGCCAGCTGTGGCGACGAGCCCGCCAGGAGGCCCAACAAAGCGAAAGAGCATGGGAATTTCACTTCGCCTCCTCCTCCTGCTCCTCCTCCTCCTCCTCCTCCTCCTCCTCCCCCTCGTCCTTCTCGTCCCCCTCGTCCTCGTCCTCGTCCTCCTCATAAGATTATTCCTCCTCCACCTCTAAGCAGCGGACAAACAATAATTACCCTGGCGACGTACCCAACCCCTGCGCAAAAGCGGGGCGCAAATAGTTTAGGATACTTTATAAGGGGGCGATGACGGAGCGAGGGTTACATATGTCTGCAGACGGAATTCGGGAGACTCGCAGGACACTGGCTACAGGAAAAGGGCTTGATAAAGCTGATGATTTACAATTCCTGAGCACTCCTAGCCACTTCGAAAACGGGGATCACAGCAGGCCTCGAAAGTGGCGACAGGTTCACAGATCGCAGCCCCGCAGGGATGGCGAGGTCTCATTTGAATCTGCCCGTGGCCCTCACTGTGCTGGGCCCCCCAGCAGGCCTCGAAAATGGCGACAGTTTCGCAGATCGCAGCCCCCCAGGGATGGCGAGGTCTAATTTGAATCTGCGCGTGGCCCTCACTGTGCTGGGCCCCCCAGCAGGCCTCGAAAATGGCGACAGTTTCGCAGATCGCAGCCCCCCAGGGATGGCGAGGTCTAATTTGAATCCGCGCGTGGCCCTCACTGTGCTGGGCCCCCCAGCAGGCCTCGAAAATGGCGACAGTTTCGCAGATCGCAGCCCCCCAGGGATGGCGAGGTCTAATTTGAATCCGCGCGTGGCCCTCACTGTGCTGGGCCCCCCAGCAGGCCTCGAAAATGGCGACAGTTTCGCAGATCGCAGCCCCCCAGGGATGGCGAGGTCTAATTTGAATCCGCGCGTGGCCCTCACTGTGCTGGGCCCCCCAGCAGGCCTCGAAAATGGCGACAGTTTCGCAGATCGCAGCCCCCCAGGGATGGCGAGGTCTAATTTGAATCCGCGCGTGGCCCTCACTGTGCTGGGCCCCCCAGCAGGCCTCGAAAATGGCGACAGTTTCGCAGATCGCAGCCCCCCAGGGATGGCGAGGTCTAATTTGAATCCGACTGTGCTGGGCCTCCGACAGTCGCACTGGCGAGGTCCTGGCCCTCACTGTGCTGGGCCCCCCAGCAGGCCTCGAAAATGGCGACAGTTTCGCAGATCGCAGCCCCCCAGAGATGGCGAGGTCTAGTTTGAATCTGCCGCGATTAACCTTTATGCTGGACCCCCAGCAGGCCTCGAAAGTGGCGACAGTTTCACAGATCGCAACCCCAGGGATGGCGAGGTCTAATTTGAATCTGCCGCGGTTACCCTCTATGCCGGACCCCCCAGCAGGCCTCGTAAGTGGCGACAGTTTCACAGATCGCATTCCCCCAGGGATGGCGAGGTCTAATTTGAATCTGCCGCGGTTACCCTCTATGCAGGACCCCCCAGCAGGCCTCGAAAGTGGCGACAGTTTCACAGATCGCAGCCCCCCAGGGATGGCGAGGTCTAATTTGAATCTGCCGCAATTACCCTTTATGCCGGACCCCCCAGCAGGCCTCGAAAGTGGCGACAGTTTCACAGATCGCAGCCCCCCGCAGGCAAGACAAGAAGAGGCGGGAGGCGGGAGGCGGGAGAAGGGAGAAGGGACGCGACCACACTGCTCTATTCAAAACGAATACCCAACCAAGGAGGGTTGGGAAAGAATGTACTATGAACTCCCCACTTCTCTGTGGTTCCCCTCCTCCTCCGCCGCCTCCTCTTCCTCCTCCTTTATGAACCTCCCTCCCTCCCCTCATCCGTGCCTCTACCCTCTGCGCTTCCGTGTCGGCACGCCCCTCGCACGCTTCGTGGCCCCACAAGAGCTCCACCGAAAGCCTCGGTGGCAGGGTTCGCATGCAGCTCCCCGCCGATTCCGGCATACCCCTCACACGTTTCGTGGCCCCACAAGAGCTCCACCGGCGGCCTCGGTGGCAGGGTTCGCATGCGGCTCCCCGCCGAGTTCGGCACACCACTCACAGGCTTCGTGGCCCCATATGGAAGACCACCGAAGGTCCCAATGCGGTTCCCCACCCAGTTCAGCGCACCTCTCACACGTGTCCTGGCTCCGTTGCGTTACCGAAGGCCCCAATAGGCCCAAATGGCAAGGTTCGCGTGCGGTTTCCCGCCGATTTCGGCACATCCCTCGAACGTCTGGTGGCCCCATGAAGCCCACCGAAGGCCCCCGTGGCAGGGTTCTCATGCGTTTCCCTACCGATGTCGGCAAATTCCGCACACGCGTCGTGGCCCCATATGGAAGTCCACCGAAGGCCCCAGTGGCAGGGTTCGCATGCGGTTCCCCGCCCACTGCGGCACACCTCTCACACGTTACGTGGGCACGTAGGGAGCTCCACCGACGGCCCCAGTGACAGCGTTCGCACGCGGTTCCCCGCCGATGATGGCACACCCCTCAAACGCTTCGTGGCCTCATAGGGAACTCAACCGAAGGCCCCAGTGGAAGAGTTCGCATTCGGTTCCACACCGATTTCAGTGCACCTGTTCACACGTTTCGTGGCCCCGTAGGGAGCTCCAACGAAAGTCCCGATAGCAAGGTTCGCGAGCGGTTCCTTGCCAATGTCGGCACACACACACACACACACACCTCGCACGTTTCGTGGCCCCATGGAGAGCTCCACCGAAGGCCCCCGCGGCAAGGTCCGCATGCGGTTCCCTGCCAATTTTGGCGAACCCCTCACACGCTCCGTGGCCCCATAGGGAGTGTCACAGAAGGCCCCAGTGGCAAGGTTCGCATGCGGTTCCCCGCCCATTGTGGCATTCCCCTCACACGCTCCGTGGCCCCATCGGGAGCTTCATCGAAGGCCCCATTGGCACGGTTCGCGAGCGCTTCCTCGCCACTTTTGGCACGCCCCTCACACGTTTCGTGGCCCCACTGGGAGCTCCACTGCAAGCGGTGCCACACCAAGGTATTCACAACTGCACATGATTGTGTCCGTCGTCGGGATAGCTTGTTGTTGCATAGCACTGTCCCCTTTATGGCCCTCCAGTGCCAGTGGCAATGGAAATCGCCCCATCAGGGTTTGTGAATACCGTTCGATCCATGGCGAAACAAGGGCCCAGAGAAGCGTGCCACGAGGTCGGAAGGCGCAGTCGAAGTTGTTCGCCACATCCCGAATGCTGGGCCCCAGGCGTCTGCGGCGCCCGCCAAGGGCGCGGGCGCCTGGTCGACGACCACGAAGGGCCCAGTATAACTTGTCCTCCTCTGACAAAAAAGGGGTCGAAGAATCACCCCAGACCCCGTGGGGGCCCGAAGAAGTTTACACCCTCGGAAAACGCAGCAGTCACACACAACCTGCATATAAACTTTTCAGGGGGTCGGTCGGCCAAATTAGCCCCGCCCGAACAGGCCCTCGCGAATCGCCCACAAGGCGAGGCAGGCGCTCTCGCGCAGGTCCCGCCCCCGACCCAGAGGGCAAGTCAAACCTCGGCCAAAGCCGCTTGGCGGCACTCACGACCTATGCGCTTCGAGGGCGAGTCCGGCAGACATCGCGACGGCCGATCTTCGCCGTAAAACCGGATCGGCCGATTTGATGAAGACTCAGTGCCAAGCATCCCCAAACATGTCATACTGTTTTTGTCCCTTGATCCTCCTCCTCGCTCCTCGCTCCTCGCTCTCCTCCTCCTCCTCCTCCTCCTCCTCCTCCTTCTCCTCCTCCTCGCTCCTCCTCCTCCTCCTCCTCCTTCCTCGCAAAAGACCCACATGGGACTCAAAAGGCCTCCCCAAACCAGAAGGGACCAATACTAATGACCGCTTGCTGGCGTGGAGTCCGAACAGCAGGCCCTTTCACCCTGGATGCGCCATCGGCATGATGCAATCTACGTGGTGAATTCCCAATTTATGTGTTGTCAAATCCACTGCCCGCGCGAACATCACAACCTCCCACCAGCACCTCGTTTTGCAAGACCAATGCGGTCACGATTGTGATGATTGCTTGTGCCTGGCTGGCGCATCTCTGCGGCCGTGCTGGCACGCGCAAGCTGGCGCGCAGAGCACCCAGCTGGCGTGCGGGCACTGCACTGCGGACAGCGGGCACTGCACTGCGGATCAGTGGTTCGGGCGGGCGCGGTATCATCATGGCGCCGAAAGTGGCGGCAACGAGAATGGTAGTAACGATGGCGGTGGCGATGATGACGATGACGACAGCGAAGCCAATGACGACGGCGATGCTGGTGACGACGGTGGCGATGATGATGTCCATGTGTGGGTGATGAAGGTGCCTGGCTGATGATCGCGGCAGTGGCTGCGGTTGTCGATGACGATGACGTGGTGGCGGCGCAAATTAGAGTGATCGTGGGAAAGTGCGCGCGCAGAACTTCACTACACCTGGCAAGTTTCTAAAAGAAGAAGATATGTTTCGTATGTTTCAAAACAATACTTGTACATGTCAATGCTTCGAACACCGTGTTCTGTTGCTCGATCATCGAGCTGATCCCACCTCGTCCTCCTCCTCTACCTCTTCCTCCTTCTCCTCCTCCTCCTGTCCCTCCCTTGAACGAAGGATTGCAAAAAAAAAACCTGTATTGGATGACTGCTGCTTCTGCCGCCGGGAGGGGCAACAAATCGTGCCCCCCCGCCCTCACTTGAACGAAGGATTGCAGTTTTTGTTGCAATCCCCCCCGCCCTCACTTGGGTTTTTTTGCAATCCTTCCTCCTTCTCCTCCTCCTGTCCCTCCCTCGCTTTCCCCACCAGCCTCCTTTGACACCGCCTTCAAGCCCCTGCCGAGCAGCGATCCCCGTGGCAGTGAAGACACTTCCTGCACGCGGTCGGGCTTCACGAGGGCCGAAGAGGAGGGGGACGAGGAAGACCGAGGACCGAGAATAAGTTGGGCGAGCAACGACATATGTACATGTACGCCCTCCGCGGTCTTGCCTGCACGAACGCCCGCGTTGACACGCACTCCAGGGGAAACTAACCGCGTACGTGTACATATGTTGCTGGCCTCTGATAAGTTATTTCCCTGCTCGCTCTGCTCTGCCACGAGTTTAAAGGCCTCTGGAGGAATGCAGAGTCCTCCAGGGTAGAAAGGAGAAAAGGGAGAAGAAAGCATGGGGCAACCTCCGCCGCCAGCGTCCGAGGAGATAAGAAGAAAGAACGAGAAAGGGGAGGTGAAACGGAAGGAGGGGGATCGGGGGGAACAGATCGGCGATAGGCCCCCGAAGGCGAGACCGCACGTTCCTGGGCGGGGTGGGCTATGGGTCCCTTTCGGCGATATATGGGCGATTCGGGGTCGATGCATCCCCCCGGAGCCTATGCGTTCCCAGCGCTGCCCCTGATGGAGGTGGCAGGAGATGGATGTGTTCGGAGCTGGAAGGTCGACAGATAAGGGAGGAGAGGGAGGCCGAAAGCCAGGAGGGTGGAAGAGCAGGTGGAAAAAGAGGGAGAGAGAGGGAGTGAGAGAGTGAGAGAGAAAGCAAGGAGGACGAGGCGGCCGAAGCAGGCAAACAGAAACAGGGAACATCGAAACTCAAACATCTGAGAACCCGTGGGGCCCAGATCAGGCCTGGGCACGCTGCATCAAGCCAAGCCAGCGGGACCCCACAGCCGACGTTCTGGGGGGAGCCCGCTCGCCAGCCTGGACAGGACCTCCCCCCTGCTTCGGAGGGGGCTGCGGCCCGTCTTGCAGTCGCGAGCAAGGCCCCGAACGTTCGCGCCTGAATGGGCTCCACAGCGCTCGCGACGACGAGACACTACGCAGGACCTCCGGCCGATGCTCGCTGGCACGTCCTTGATATGCAAGGGGCGGGCGAGAGGGCCAAGAGGAGAGGCGAGCGGGGCCAAGATGAGGACCTGGGCCAAAGTCCCGGACCACGCCTCGCCCTCCTCCCGCGACCCACCCAAAAGGTTCGGCGCCTGCGGCGCGCTGTTTTTGAATTCCTCCCAGGTGGACGTGGAGAGCCCGCGACCCACCCGCGACCCAAACTACGTTCACTGAGCAAGCCAAAATTTCGGCGCCTGCGCCGGGTTTCTTTTGCATTCGTTCCAGGTGGAGAACCTGCGACCCAAAACGCGTTCAGCATATTAATCATTTTTTTTCGGCGCCTGCGGCGGGCTGTTTTTGAAACCCTTCCAAGTGGAGGTGGAGAGCCCGCGACCCACCCGCGACCAAGACCACGTTCACTGAATAAGCCAAAAATTCGGCACCCGCGGCGGGCTTGCTCGCATTGGTTTGGGAAAGCGCCCTCGTGCCATTCCCCCGATCCCGCCCACGTTGACTCTACAACAGCACATCGGCGCCTGCGGCGGGGCTGTGTCTGAACACGTTCGTTGACAATCCAGCTGCTTGCTGCAATTCGGCATCCGTGCCCAAAGCCTGGGTTCAGGGGAAGCCGCCTCAAGGTGCCCACAATTGAGGGGCCTCGGGGCGCTCAAGGACCCTCCTGAGGAGGGCGTCCATGAACCCTACCACAGAGCACGCCAGTGCCGCACAAACGCGGCGGCGGATTTTGCATGCCGTCTGAGCCCCCCAAGACCTCTTTAAGCTCCGTTCATCCACACCAGCTCTTCCAGAACCTTTACCCTGGCGAGTTGCCTGGATCAGAGAAGTCGGAGAGCATTCAGTGGAACAGGGGATCGGTTTGCCGTTATCTTGAGGAAGAAAGGCGAGACAGAGGAGTAAACAGGGGACGAGGCGGACGCGGAAGAAGAGAGGATGTAAGGAGAATGTGAGGAAAGAGGCGGAGGAGGAGGAGGAGGAGGAGGAGGAGGAGGAGGAGGAGGAGGAGGAGGAGGAGGAGGAGGAGGAGAGGGAGAAGGAGGAGCGGAGGAGGAAAAGAGGAGGAAAAGGAGGGGGGGGCGGGGGGGACGACGAGAAGAGGGAGGAGTGAGAGGAAGAGGAGGACGACGACGACGGAAAGGAGGAGGGGGAGGATCGGGATGGGGGAGGAAGAGGAGGAGGAGGAGGAGGAGGAGAGGAGGAGGAGGAAAAGGAGGAGGGAAAGGAGGAAGAGGAGGTGGAGGAGGCGGACGACGACGTCGACGACGACGACGATGAGGACGAGGACGCGGAGGAGGAAGAGGGGGAGGAGGAGAAGCAGGAGGAGGAGGAGGAGAAGGGCGCCATCGACAGTCAAGGTGAGGGCCACGAGGTCCGTCGGCTCGACGCCCGCGTCGCCCGCGCCCGCCCCCTCACTCTTATCCGCAATTGCG